TTTTTATGAAGCTTCCAGGCAGATAATTTGCCTCGAGGATTTTTACAATCAAATTACTGGAGGAATGTTTTCAGAGCTACTCAGAAGCAGGAAGTGTCTGACTGACAGGGTCAGATCTACAGACTCACCTGGTCTACCTGAGAATAGATTGTTTTTATTTTCAGCAGCTGAACCTGTTCCTGTCTCTTTATTTCCCTTCATGATGAAACGTGTCGGACCCTCCAGGTGACCCTGACCTGGGATGAGACGGACCACGACCGCGTCTCGACTCTGAACAGGAAGTTCAACAAAGACGAGCTGCTGGACATGGACTTCAAGGCCTACCTGGCCTCCTCCAGTGAGGAGGAGGAGGAGGAGGTGGCAGGAGGTGAGGAAGACTGGACTGTTTCTGCTGTGGTGATGATGATGATGATGATGATGATGATGATGATGAAGAAGAGTTGAGGCTCTTGTTTGTTTTGGACAGAAGGAGACGATGATGAGAAGAAGAGGAGGAGGAGGAAGATGAAGAGTGAGGAGCAGATCAGAGCCTACAGGGAGCTGCTGAGGAACATCCAGGACAAGGAGACGAAGCAGCAGGAGGACAGGAACATGGAGATGGAGATCACCTGGGTACCAGGTAAACCTGCAGGTCCAGGTGTGACTCTGCTGGTCCAGGATCAGGTTTTGAAGGGTCTCTGTGTCCTGGACCAGGTCTGAAGGAGACCACGGAGCAGCTGGTGAAGAAGAAACTGGAGGGGAGGAGCCAGCTGACGCCCTGGGAGGAGTATCTGCAGAAGAAGAAGAAGAAGAAGAAGAATAAGAGCGACAGGAAGCAGGTGGGCGGAGCTTGAAGGTGGACAGGTGTGAGGAGGGGGAGGAGTCTGATCCTGGTTCCTCTGAACTCTGACAGGAAGCAGCTGATGAAGAGCTCAGTGATGATGACCTTCCTCCTGATGTGGACCTCAGTGACCCCTTCTTCAGCTCTGAGCTCCAGGCTCCAGGTGAGCAGAACCAGAACCGTTTCACTTCCTGTCTGTACAGGAAGTTAAAGGATGTTTGTGTTTGCAGACCTGAAGAAGAAGAAGAAACAGGAAGAGCAACATYCAGCTGAGGAAGAGGAGGAGCTGCAGAGACAGGTCAGACAGGTTCCTCCAGGTGTCTGGACAGAACCGGGCCTGCTGGTTCTGACCCGTTTGTGTTCCAGGCTCAGATGGTTCTGCTGATGGACGACGGCGCCGAGGACAAACACTTCAACTACGAGCGCATCGTGGAGCACCAGAACCTCAGCAAGAAGAAGAGGAAGAAGCTGCTGAAGAAAGGGACGGAGCTTCTGGAGAACGACCACTTCCAGGTCAGACTGAGCTTCCTGTTTACTTCCTGTGTCTCTGCAGAGGGACAGGAAGCYGCTAACGTCTCTGTCTGTCCCCCAGGTGGACGTGAAAGACCCTCGCTTCCAGGCCATGTTCTCCTCCCACCATTACAACCTGGACCCCTCCCACCCCAGCTTCAGGAGGACCCGGGCCACGCAGAGCATCCTGGATGAGAAGCAGCGGCGCCGTGCTCAGCAGGCCACGCCCACACAGGAAGAGCCCGTCCACAAACAAGAAGCAGCAGAGACGAGGCGGGAAAAAGACTCTGCGATGGACCCGAGTCTGTCTCTGCTCGTTAAATCCATCCGCAGTAAAACGCAGCAGTTCCAGGCCCGGAAGAAGCAGAGACTCCTGTAGTCCAGAACCGCCTGTCGGGTTGGGTCGGGTTCTCCTGATGGAGCCAGACCCACTTCCTGTTGAAAACATGTTTACACAAACATCAYGTTCAAAAGATTTGTTCAAATCACAGGCTTGGATTAAACTTTTATTACAGAACCGAACCACAGGTTCTGGTGTGGGTCTGCAGCTGTAYGGCACCTTATCCACTAATAAACCCATCTTTAAGTTTTTATTGTTCTCTGACACTTCAGCTCAAACTACTGATCAGTTCACAGTTACAGATGACTCAGCAAGATCTGAACAAATAATCTGCTGACTCAGCACAATCAGATCAATTCATCCTGCTGACTCAGCAAAATCTGAACAAATTTAATCTGACAACAAAATCTAAACAAATAATCTGCTGACTCAGCACAATCACAATTTTTCCTGCTGACTCAGCAAAATTTGATTAAAACAATTAAATCTGCTGACTCAGCACAATCAAATTTTTCTGTTGACTCAGCACAATCAGATCAATTCATCCTGCTGACTCAGCAAAATCTGAACAAATTTAATCTGACAACAAAATCTAAACAAATAATCTGCTGACTCAGCACAATCATTTTTCCTGTTGACTCAGCAAAATCTGAAAAAAAAAAATCTGACAACAAAATCTGAAAAAAATCATCTGCTGACTCAGCAAAATCAGACGTATTTGATTTGCCGACTTGTCAAAATTGGTAAAAAAAAATTTAATCTGCTGACTCAGCACACTCAGACCAATTCATCCCACTGACTCAGCAAAATCTTAAAAATCAAAATTTAAATCTGCTGACTCAGCAGAAATAACAAGAAGTAGAACTTTAAGGTTTCCTGCAGTGTTTCAGCATCAATAAAGAGACAAAAGAWCTGAACCCAGGTGGTTCTGTTGGGTCTGAGCAGACCTGACCTGGTTCTGGGTGTCCTGGGTTCAGAACCAGCAGGTTCTGTAGTGGTCCACATCATTATTTGTATTATTAGAACTGGAGAAATCAGAACCTCAGTTCTGTTCAGCAGGGTGACAAAGAGAAAAGTCTAAATTATTCCAGGTGTTAGTTCTTGGTTCTGAAGGTCCAGTTCTGCTGCTACGGCCCGGGGTACTCGAACACAGCAGCGGCTCCCATGCCGGTACCGATGCACATGGACACGACTCCGTAGGCCCTGCAGACGACAGGCAGAACTCAGAGAAGACCCGAGCTGGGTTCTGTGACGGACCGGGCCGCCGGTGTTCACACTGACCTCCGACCTCTGCGCCGCAGCTCGTTCAGCAGCGTGACCACCTGCCGCGCCCCCGTGCAGCCCAGAGGGTGGCCCAGAGCGATGGACCCCCCGTTTGGGTTCACCTTGTCCAGAGAGATGCCCAGTTTGTCCACACAGTACACCACCTGGACCAGAGAGACACGGGTCAGCTGGACCAGAGAGACACTGGACCAGAGAGACATGGGTCAGCTGGACCAGAGAGACATGGGTCAGCTGGACCAGAGAGACATGGGTCAGATGGACCAGAGAGACAGGAGAGAGTTTTAACAGGTTCTGACCTGACTGGCGAAGGCCTCGTTGATTTCAAACACATCTATGTCGTCCAGAGAGAGACCTGAGACCAGAACCAACAGATCAATAAACCAGAACTAATTCAGTCTGGTCAAATTAAGGTTCTGTTTGGACAGAGAAATTGTTATTTTGCTGAGTCAGCAGGTTGAATCAGTGATTTTTGCTGAGTTATCAGGTTGAATCAGTGATTTTTGCTGAGTCAGCAGGTTGAATCAGTGATTTTTGCTGAGTCAGCAGGTTGAATCAGTGATTTTTGCTGAGTCATCAGGTTGAATCAGGGATTTTGTAACCAGGTCACTCTTCAGACTCACCTGCCTGTCGCAGCGCTGCAGGTATGGCGAAGGCCGGTCCGATCCCCATCACATCTGGGGGGACCCCCACCACGGCGCTGGCCCTCAGGATTCCCAGAACCGGCAGACCCAGAGCCTCCACGGCGGACCTGCGGCCCAGCAGAACCGCCGCCGCCCCGTCGCTCACCTGGCTGGAGTTACCTGGAACACAGGTGTGAGTGAGCCACTGCTGACAGAGACCGGTTCTGAACCTGAAGGCGGGTTCTGACCTGCTGTGGTGCTGCCACCGGGTTTGAAGGCGGGTCGGAGTTTGGAGAGTCCAGCCAGCGTGGTTCCGGGTCTGACGCCCTCGTCTTTACTCACCGTCAGCCGACGCTCCGCGCCGCCGTCCTCCACGAAGCGGACGCTGACCGGAACGATCTCCGAGTCGAACCGACCCGAGTCCTGAGCCCGGGCCGCCCTGAGGGAGGACAGAGAGGCTGAAGGTGGAGCCAGTAAAGCCGGTTCTACTGGTTCTGTCAGAGCTAAGGATCAGATCTGAACTTTATCTGGGAGCTGAGAGCAAACGAGTCCTGCTGGTCTCTGGAGACCCCGAACCTTTCAGCCACGTTCTCCGACGTGATCCTGTACAGAACACAAGAACAGCAGAAGGTTCTGGTTCAGCTGAGGGTCCTCACAGGTCCAAACATGGTTACACAGCTGCAGCGTCTCACCCCATCGGGACCACACAGTCTCTGGCCTTCTGGTTCTGGCTCAGATCACAGCTCAGGTCTCCTGGGTCGCTCATGGCTCGCAGAGACATGCTCTCCACCCTGAAAGAGACAGGACCAGGTCTTTGTTCTGTCCACAGGAGACCAGGTCTTTGTTCTGTCCACAGGAGACCAGGTCTTTGTTCTGTCCACAGGAGACCAGGTCTTTGTTCTGTCCACAGGAGACCAGGCTGGCCCTGGACAGAACAAAGACATGTCCCACATGTCTCAGCAGGTCCAGGACTCAGATTTATAAATTGTGTGTTGGGGAGGGTTCTGTGGGTCAGGGAGGAGGAGTCTGTGGGTCAGGGAGGAGGGGTCTGTGGGTCAGGGAGGAGGGGTCTGTGGGTCAGGGAGGAGGGGTCTGTGGGTCAGGGAGGAGGGGTCTGTGGGTCAGGGAGGAGGGGTCTGTGGGTCAGGGTCATCTTAGG